CATAATTATTTGTTGAGTGAAGATGACAATATGACATACGAATTAAAACGAGAAAAATAAACAACACAAGATTTACGTGGTTCGGCAATGTGCCTACGTCCACGACGGCCAGTGGCGCAGCCATACCTTGTGGCTGGGGTCAGCTGACCCTTATGGATTTCAAAATTTTTAGTATAAAATACTGTTCAAACACTGTTTACTAGGTTAATGACCCCGCTAAAAAATATTGCCGACCCCGGTAAAATTTGAGGCTGGCTCCGCCCCTGACGACGGCAGAGGGATATATTTTTATTATGAATCGTACTCAATACATCAATATACCATGTATTTATATCATAACCCTACAGGAAATTAAGTACTCATGGAATTTAGAGGTAGAATTTTGTAATTGTAGAGCTATTTTTACTAACTTATATATTTTCTGTAAAATCTTCTGCTGCTTTTTGCTCAATGTGGTAGATAGTTTAGTTGGTCTTTTTTTATGCTGTGTTATGTAGTTTCTTGTGATATTTGTGTTTTATGTGCTTTCTGTTGTTCAGTAATGATTAATTCTGTGATCTTTTAATTTCTCTTGACCATATAATTCTTAATAAATTTGTAAACATATGGTGAATTTCCTCGCTTTCGTTTTTCAAGTTTTAATGGATTTTTTCACAATCGGTAGCCGGATATATATAAGGTGCTCTTCAAGAAACTTCAGACCGATTTATGAAATTAATTCTTTTTACGCTTGCAGGCATCAGCCTACCTCTTTCTTTTGTCAATATATGAGCCATACCAACTTTATTTATAGTCAAGAGAATGTTTGAGGAGGAACATATATATTCCAACAATTTTATATATGAGTATACAAATAACTTATAAGTACAACTACCTCTTTTTAGCTATATAAAAACAACACAAGAACAATCATAATAATTGTGAAATAAATTCAAACTAGTACAAAGAAATATATGATAAAAACTATTTATGTCTAATACCAAATCTAAAAGCGTGAGAATCTTCCACTTAGACTCAACACGTTTTGAATTAATACATGAATTGGAACATAAAGTTGTCAAACTTAAAGGACATGTGGTCATTACTATAATTAGCCAATGTTAATAAGATAACATAAAGTCATAAACTGTAATAACTCAACTTCTTGTTAATGGAAATGATGTATTATCTTTTATTGATTTCGTTCATTTTCAGCGAATAAGTTCGACGTTAAGTCGAAAAGTTTATCCGGTTAATTATTAACCGAGTCCAATTGATAATTAGTTTCCGAACCGTTTATTTTATAAACAGACATTATTAATCGGGATTAATTATTAATAGTTTAGCATGTTCGGAATTAAGTTCGAGGTTGAAACTAAGCTAAGTTGAGAAAGAACGCAAGGTACACGAAGCATACGCATGTACACGCACTCATGCACGCATGCCGTTCACACAGCCACGCACATGAACGCGCATCGCGCGCAGCACTGCTGATACGGAAGTGGTTGTCGAGGCTAACGGATGGTCGGGAGTGACCGTGGGTCGAA